AGAGAGAGAGAGAGAGAGAGAGAGAGAGAGAGAGAGAGAGAGAGAGAGAGAGAGAGAGAGAGAGTCTCTCTCTCTCACACACACACACACACACAAGCTCCTGATCACTCGGAAACAGTCTGCGACAGTCATGTTTTTTTTTAGTGTATACTACTGTATACCGAATATGACAACAAAAAAAATAAAATGAAACCCGGGCAGTGTAACAACAACAGCCACGCCCCCCTGTTCGTCCGTCTCCTCTGCCGCAGCGTGGCTGCGGCGCGTCCACTTGTGATATTAAAGAGTGAAATGCCTGAGCTGCCATATGGTCCTGGCAATCCCTCCAACCCGCTGCCCACCCAACACACCCTGCCCCGCCCCCCGCCCCACAAAAGACAAAAAGGAGGGAAAAAAAAAAAAGCCAAGAAAGCAGAAACAACACTCCTCCGGTCAGGCTTGGAGTACTCACCATCTGATCTGTTGTTTCATTGGACGCTATTTTTCGAAGAATCCGCCGCATAATCTTTCCACTCCGTGTCTTTGGGAGGCCGAGTGCCAAGTGGATTTTGTCCGGGGCCGCGAATGGGCCAATCTGTAGCAAACAGACAAACAAAAAACCACCTTGATATAGGGCCTCGCTGCACTACTCTTGACATGCGCAAAAGACAAAAATCATGCCGGTGCATCTTTCCATATTCTAGCGGAAGATTCACTCTCGTTTTGCACATTTCGAGAGTAGTGCAGCGAGGCCCATACGGCCGACCATATGACCTTGGACTTGTTGTGGACCCGACCCTCCACTGACAAAAAACAGAAGTCAAAATCTGAACCCAAGGGTCCAGATATTAGTCAATGGCTGGATAAGGTAGTGCTTGACTAAGGGCGTACTCACACCAGCTCTATCTTAAACGTATGTGACCGCATTTACGGCCATACCTGGATGTATATGACCGCAATTACGTCCATGAACGAGTAGAAAAAGTCCCTAGTGTGACGACGCCCTAACTTGCAGCATGTGACCTACCCTACGAAGGAAGCCTTCACCAGATTACAAGTCGACCCCTCCCGATCATCAGGCAATGCCTAGAGTTTAGACCAGCACGAATAACCACGATAGGTGTAATCAGCAGACACGGCATAGAACAACCTCCAGGGACAGGGTACAGACAAAGAGGCATCAAGCAAGGGTTTAGGGTTTTAGCACCAAACACATTTCTCAACTCGAGCAGAGCTCAAGTCCGTTGAAAAAAGCAAGGGTTCCACTAGCGGTTAATGGAAGGCTAAAAATTTGGGGTTTTTCGCCGCGTCGCTACAAGCAATGCAGTTTCGGTGAAAAATTCGCCAAAATTCGCCGAATTTTGGGCCTTCCATTAACCGCTTCTCAAGGGTCCTAGACTAGAAGTAAAAATAGATTAGCACTCAAGTACAACAGCATGTCAAAAAAAGGGGCTAACTTAGGCAGGGGTGAAGAATGGTACATCCTTCCGTAGGGAAGCAATCAATGCTGTTTTTCGGGCCTCCACACCAGAAGGGGGAGGAGCGTGCGTGAGTATCTGTACTTGCCGGCAGAATCGATTAGGTAGATTTTTTGGGTTTTAGATTAGGTGAATTAGATTAGATTACAGTAGATAGATGAGAGAGAGAGAGACATTAGATCGAAAGACAGATGTGATAGATAGATCGATTTCAGGATAGAGCGTGTAGTCGGGGTTGCATCAGCAACGTAGCTCGGACGTCAAACTCTCACTGCAAAGCCCCCCTCTTTAGTTACCAACCTGTTCTCGAACAGTGCCAACAAGAGAAGTTCGCAAATCATTGTTGTACTCAGTGCCTTCCATCAGACTCACAAAGGCATAGATGCCCTGTCCCTTCACCTGCCATTTCAAAAAAACAAAAAGAAACATCAGAAACAGGGACAAAAAGCATGATATCTTGAAGAACTACGGCATATAAAAACATCACACATGCATCCATCCATCAATCCGTACATGCATGCATGCATGCATGCATGCATGCATACATTACATACATACATACATACATACATACATACATACATACATACATACATGCATACCTGCATGCATGCATGCATGCATGCATTACGTACATTACATGACATACCTGCATGCATGCATGCATGCATTACGTACATTACATGACATACCTGCATGCATGCATGCAGGTGTGCATGCATACGTTACATACATTACTGCATAGATTACATACATTACTGCATAGATTACATACATTACATGCATTATGTGAGGATTGAGCCCTCAAGTAGGGGCCTTGCCATGATGTACATGTTCTGGGCTAAGGCCCCAGCAAGCCTAGTGCCCGCCCTAAGTGAAGGCGGGCCAGCAAATCAACAAGAGCCCTCTATGCCAACATTTCATGAAGTGGGGTCTATACAGTTGCAGCACGCCAGTTGGTTGCAGTGCACCGAGTCTCGGATTTCAGCAAATGCTGAAATGCCCAAGGCCTCTGAGTTAGTTAGGCCCTGGGCACTCGAACGTGAGGCCGACAATGCATGCTGGGTAGAGAGGCCGAAAATGCCAAAAGGAAATCGGCCCACTATCTGAATCTGGCCGCAGGCCTTGATGAGAGAGGCGCAACTGCATTGCTCCGGGGCCCAACTGTATCGGGTAGGCTTCAGCCTCTGGGCCCCGGTCACAGGCTGAAGGAAGGCCGCCCACACGCTGCACTGGCATATAGGCAAGCAGGGCGAGTGGGCAGGGATCTTGGCCAATGCTGGCACTTGTGGGCACGCTGCGCGGATGCATGTGTGCTGCGCTGTGCAAGGCAGTGCTGCGCTAAGAGCAAGCAGGCCAGCGCTAGGCGGTAGGGCGCTGCCTGCACGAAGGGCACTGGCGGCCATARCCGGGCYGCAGGAGGGTGCAGGAGAGGTGAGRGCGAAGGTGGTACTTCGGAGGTGAAGGGCGCTGTGTGGGTGACAAGGGAGAGTGTGGGGAAGGGGACACGTTCCTGGTGGAGGTGGAGGTCGGCATTGGTGTTGACATCATCACTCGCTGGTAGTCAAGTTGTCTGGTTGCTTTTCATTGCTGTAGTTGTAGGATAGGCTGTAGAGTAGATAGGGCGCCTGGCGCCATTCACAAGAGAGAGCTACATTTGGGTTATGCTGTTGGTGTTGCCCTGTTGGGCATGGACATTGACTCACGATTCTTCTGTATCATTCTCAATTGGATGGTTACTCGGTTCCATGTGCAATCTGCTTTGGCTTTGACTACTTGGACTTCAGTGTGATTTTGCATTCTGGATTTCTGTGCTTCGTCCATACTCATGTTCCTTGCAATTACATGCATTAAATACATTACATGACATTACATGACATACATAACATACATATGCACAGCCCGATATAGCATCCGATATCAAATAGTGTTCCATACTCCTGAAATATATTTGTCACACAGACTCTGACCAAGGGAGAATTTCTTCACAGTCTGAGAACATCTTATCGAGAGACGTACATGTATTGTGTACTCTCATGTAGAGTACACATCGCACACCATGCAGTACCATACATCATCCATCAATGGGCTATCACATGTACTAAAGCATACCACATCACAAGAAATGCCCCAACTACACACACACAGACAGGCAGAGGGAGCGACGGAGGGAGGGAAGGCGCACGCGCGCGCGCATGAGAGAGAGAAAGAGAGAGAGAGAGAGAGAGAGAGAGAGAGAGAGAGAGAGAGAGAGAGAGAGAGAGAGAGAGAGGGGGGGGGGGGGGGGGGAGGGAATGGTCAGACAGAAAGGCAGCCACAAAAAGGGAAGGGGCAGGGCAGTTCGACATGCCTCGTGATCGTATCCAACAACTGCTGCTTCTGCACACAAGGGATGTGATTCCAGCGCTGACTCCACCTCTGCTGTACCGATCCGGTGCCCACTGCAAGACAAAACCTTTGGTTAGCGTCAGTTCCTCTCCGTGTCAGAGTTCGACCTTTACTGATCCCAGAGCCTGCTGCCCCCCAGATGGGCTCTAGCACGCTGCTGATGGGAGGCAAAATCTTCTAAATCTCTTCTCTTCTCCCCTCTTCTGCAGCTGCAACTCCCCTCTCCTCTCCTCTCCTCTCCGCTGCCACTAAATGTGACTAGAGTGGGGCCTTGAACTCACTCGCTCTGTCTTCACCCGAATAGGACGCCCGGTCATTATCGCTGTATCTAGTCTGAAAACTGCACCAACTACAGCTATAATGACGGGGTGTCCAATTCGGGTGAAGATGGTAATCTTTTCTGTTTTCTATGAGGCCTATCTAAACACAAGCCTATGCAACTATGGGCCCAAAAAACTCTATCGAAATCGGGAAAAAAAAAAAGAAAAAAAAAAGAGAATGCCACCACTTCTAGCTGAAGCTAAGTGGCATACTGACACTTGAATTGCGGCTAGATGTGTACGGGTCCGGCCTTAAATGCGGTCAGATACATTTAAAAATAGTGTGAGTATGCCACTTAGCTTCAGCTGAAGTGTGCCACGGGAGGTACCTGGGAGGTGTGCAAAATTCCGAGCATTTTTCGAGATAAACATTAATTCTCATTTCTGACGACTATAAATTCTGGAAAAACGCAGGGACATTGCTTAAGGTTACTCCAGATCAGGGAAAAAAAGGTTTAAGAACCAAAACAAAGAAAAAAAATCAACAAACAAAGTTTAACAAACAAAAACAGTTTGACGGTTTGACAGAACTATGATCCATGGGAAAAAAAATCTACCAAACCGAATGCATATTTAAACAAAGCTGATGCTACCCGGTAGGAGTGACGTTGCAGGCTCCGAGCAGACCCAGGGGGTCGGTTTGGACAAATACGTAATTTTTGAAGTTTTTCCTTCCCTTTTGATTTGCTTTCTTTCCTGGAAACCTGCCAAGAGCATGGGAAGGGCCACCCGGGCATCACCCAGGCAGCGACATTATCTGGGCTACCAACTGGGCCGCCTGGGTCACCTTGATATCCCGGGTGACCCTTTCGGGTAAGGGCCGGGGAAGCTCTCTGCAAAAAAAACAAAACAAAACAAAAGAAAAAACGGAAGCAGGACGAGAGCTGTAAATATTAGATGGTGCCCAGAGGATTTTAATGGGGAAACCGAGGAAGGGTTTAACACGATGAGAGGCCTGTGAGACTGCTAGAACAGCCCCCCCGAGCCAGGCCTCCCCTGGGGACCCGTCCGTTGTGTGGCTGGGTGCTGCTAGGAAGCTTCCCGACCAACAGAGGTGTCCCTGGGAAGGCTATGGTATGGGAAGTGGGTTTTGGTTGTAGCAATCCCCCCCTTGAGAGGCGTCTAGGGCCGCAAGGGCAAGGCTTTCCGCTTCTCTTTTAAATCAAACTGTGTTTTTTGTTTTCCAGGCTTGCCGGTGATGAGCAACCGTACTGATGCCCCCCAGAATAGAAGGGGCTGGGTGTTATGGGATATAAAAAAAA